GGGTTTCCGATGATGACAAAGAAAATTACATCAGTACTGTAAAGAAGTACAACGAGCGACCAGCTCGCCCACTCGCTGAGTATGATGAGGACAGCAACATCGTACCAGATGAGATACCAGAGGAGGGGAATCCAGCAACCGAAGCTCCAGCAGAAGCGATGACCCCGAAGAGACCTGTGCACGTGCGAACAGCACCGAAGAGATTTAAGGACTTTGTTGTGGGCGCAGTTTAAAGTGAATAGTGATTTTGGATACTACTCGTTCCATTGTTTGGTTGTAATACTGGTCTGCATGATGAGTCTGAATGACTTTGATACAAGTAATAGTTTACACAAGGAAGTTTGAACAGTAGAGTTCTTTTCATTGTTGAGAAATGTTTTCAATATATACGTATATAGAAATACATTCATATATAGATATGTCCTGCATGTGAAATCATTAATCGTGTCATAATTCTGATTCGAGGAAAAGAGGGATGTATTGTATAACCCATCCATATATTTAGTGTTCCAATTGATAATAATTACAGTCGGTAGATGAAGGTGGTGTAGGAGATAAGGTATTGAAATCGAGGCTCTTATTATGGCGGGTAAATAAACAGCAGTAAGACAAAGCAGTGAACAGCAAATGCAAATCAAATAAGACAAACACCTTTTGTGAATTGTGCTGTATTTTTGTGATTTACAGAAGGAAAGAATTGCTTCCGAGAATTCCATGTGTAAAACTGTGTACCATGCATGTCACATGATAAAAACTGACCTACTGAATTTTGGAAAATTACATTGTGCTCCAACAGTCCAGTCCTATTACTCCTCTAATTAAGTAGAGAGAAAAGACAAATCAGACTGTAAATATTAGCTGTGAAGTTAATTTAGTTGTTTAGTTATTGTTATTTCAGGTGATACAATAGAATATGTGAGGACTTAATAGTAGATAGCAATAATAGGAAAACACGTACACCTCTGGCATGGCAGACCGCGTAGAGACAGATAGGCTAAATTAATTTTGCTATAACTTATAAATCTTACAAATTCCCAAAACGCTTGCAGTCAGACTTACACGACAACTAAGCCTATGTGTGGCGATATGGATGGGGGTCCCTAAAAGTTTGTACAGTGTGGTTCAGTTCTTCGTTGGGACACGAGGGGGCAGCACCGGACAGTTCATGGCGGGGAAAATGCAGGCAGTCGACAAGGGGCCGTTTGTCTGCCGAAATAAAGAGTGAAGAACGAACGTCATTACTTTTCGGTCCAATTTCGTTTACAAATTTCCCGTTTTGTCCCTTTCAGGTAAGATCACCAGTGTCATTATTCCAATTGTAGATATTCATAGACCAAGTGTAGTGTGTCAACATTTCATTAATTATCGCCTTCATAGAGTAACTCGGCGATTTAGTTCACCAATTTTAGACAAAGGAATCGACTGGGGGGAATGGCCAAGATGGCGGAACCGGCATCGCGTAGTCGCGCTACAAATATTTACCGCAGTAATAGGGATAATTTATCAAATAATTAATAATGCAAGTTGCTCTCTGTGTAATTGGGTTTAGATGAAACCTGTTGATGTTGTTCAAACTGGTGTAATTTGCCAGTAATTAAGGAAGTTCCAGGGACATGGGTCATGTCCGAGATTCCACTGCCTTCTGCTGGGTGGCGTGGTAGTACGGTGCCAGTTGTAAACAATAACAAAGGGAGTGTGCATTAATACCAGTATTTCTATTGGAAACTGTCCAAGTTTAGAAGCATGTTCTAGCATAATACAATTGATTATTAGTCTATGTCTGTTTATACAATGTACTGAGGCTTATTGCAGTAGTAAATGGGAAGAATAGATGGGGTAAATGTGGTAAAGTTAGTTGTGGTAACACCAACAGAACATGTGTTAGTATGAATTGAGTTGAGAAAGAATAGGATTTGGTCTTAAAGCTGCACTATGCGCATCCAAACGCTAATTTCTCCAGTACTAGACTAGCAAATACTTCGCTTCATGCATAACCACACTACCTTATAGCAAAATAAACTCTAGTTCCTCCCATTTCAGCGTGCGTTTGCTTAAAACCCACAAGAAAGAAGTGTGAAATTTGGTAATCTGGCGCCAACGCTAAATTGTTTGCCAAACAATTTCGCCAAGAATCGGTTAGGTGACCTCACATGTTTTTATCTTTGCTACACCCGTACCACTGTACCGCAGCACTGCTCCATGGTTGCTTGGCAGAGCAATGCGAAAGTGTCAACAACATCGGAGAATTTGAACAACATTGGAGGTATTTTCAAATGCCTTTTATAAGACAACGCACAGTGAAATGGGAGGAACTAGAGTTTATTTTGTCATAAGATAGTGTGATTATGCATGACACGAAGTATTTGCTAGTCTAGCACTGGAGAAATGAGCGTTTGGATGCGCATAGTGCGGCTTTAAGATCTTTAATGCAAATTGTAATAATTATACCGAGTGTTCAGATCTATGCTTGGCTTTGGGGGTGACCTGTCGCTGGGTTTATAGACAAAACCCATCCCCAGTTCCCACCCCCTGGGGGTCAAAGTCAGGGGTCAAGGTCACCGGGTGTTAGAGACTTCTATGTATTTTATACTTGTACTTTTGGTCTGCCGAAATAATTATAATAAAAAGATATAACGTTTTTTAACCCATGTTAAAACTATATTCAAATATTATATATATATAAAATATATTAAAAATATATTTTCTGAAAAGATACTAGCTTAATTTACGTACGTGTATATGATTATTAGCCTAATATTTATGTAATGGAGAAATGTCGTACCGTGAGAACGGTACAGAAGAAAAGCAAATACGGTCGGTCAGGGACGGACGGCGAATGGCCTCACCAGACTGAACTACCTATTTTAGAAGGGACCTATAAATTAACGTGATGGCCGGCATGGCCGATAGAGTCATTAAGAGAGGTACGGCCGGTTCTCACGGCCGGACGACAGGGGTAACGGCCTCGACTCGATCGGGAACAGAGCGAGAGTTGTCAAACCAGCCGCAATTAAGTGACACCGTGATGACAGTACGGCAACCGGTCAAGGGGAGCAATGGACCCCGACAATGGGACGGGCGTCGCGACCGGTCGTGTGGTCACTAGACGTGCCACGAATCAGGAAGTCTGTTAGGTCGCGACGAACGCGTGCACGGTTTAAAAGAGAGAGGTTTTGGGAGAAACGGGAGAGACTCCGACCACAGCTTGGTATGTGTATACACTGTCGCTATTCGTGTTCTAGAATAAACCTGTAGTTGTTTACCGTTTACATCACCGTACACCTTCTATCTACGTCTACTGTCTACGAGCGTATATTCCACGCTACATTTATACTCATATTATTATAAATTTCCTATATTATAATTAATTATATGCTTGGCATATTGAGGTTATCAAAAAATCAATTGCCATTATATTTTAATTTGAATTAATTCATTTCGCGACTTCGCCACTATATATTGAGAAGCGCAATTTAACTGTTAGGCAATGCTCTTTCATGAATATCGCCCATCCGACCCATCTACTCTGCAATTTTATATGCAGAGCGCGTTGCCTTGCGGTTGCATACACGGTTTGTTGTGCATCATGCATTAGAGTTTATTTCACTGGTCTCTAATCGTCAGCACAAGAAGGCCTCATTGAATGTGTGCGAGTACACACTTGTGTTGCTGTGCTAGAAAGAGAAGTAGATAATAATTTTCAACTGTTTTTCTTTAGGCTATGCTCAAGGGCGTCGGAACTGCCGCGGCAGCCGCGGCGACCGCCGCGGCACTTTTTTCAGGCCATAAATTTTCCGTAACCAAAATC